TGCAAAAGGTAGTTTGTTCAAGCTTGTGTTTGCACATCCGTAAACCAAAAAATCTTTCCCGGACTGAGTGGGGAAGATTTTTTGGCTTATGGATGTGCAAATACAGGCTTGAACCACTTCCCTTTTGCATTTGCCAAAACCTCAATCCAAGCACACTCGCAGCTTCAAACCTGCTACCCACCAAACAAAGACGCAACAGATTTGTTTTTTTCGTTTATGGATGTGCAAACGCACGCTTGAACAAATTCCCTTTTGCACGTGCCAAAACCCCAGTTCAAACACGCTTTCATCTTCAGAGCTGCTACCCACAAACAAAGAAGCAACATTGCAGCATTTGCTCCGCACGTGGGCAAAAATTGGAGATCAGAGCTGTGTGCCTTGCATGGTGCACTAATGTAGAATGTGCCTGCACGCCTCCAGAAGCAGAATTGCAGCGTTCTGCTGATGAAAATATAAAAGGGGGCACAAACATTGTGTTTTGCACAGTGCACGTACAGTGCACCCACAGTGCACGCTACAGTGCACGTCACAGTGCACGGCCACAAAACGCTGTAAATACCACACCTTTTCCCAAAAATAATCAGAAAACACAAAAAAAGAAAATATTTCTATAGTTTTTTGTAAATTGTCAACAAAAACGCCAATCCCATGGTATTTACAGCGTTTTGTGGCCGTGCACTGTGGCATGCACTGTACCGTGCACTGTGCGTGCACTATACGTGCACTGTGCAAAACACAGTTTGTGCAATTCTGCTTCTGGAGGCGTGGAGGCACATTCTTTGTTTGTGGGTAGCAGCTGTGAAGATGAACGTGTCTTTGGATTGGGGTTGTGGCACGTGCAAAAGGGAATTTGTTCAAGCTTGCGTTTGCACATCCGTAAACCAAAAATTCTTTCCCGGACTGAGTCCGGGGAAGATTTTTTGGCTTATGGATGTGCAAATACAGGCTTGAACCAATTCCCTTTTGCATTTGCCAAAACCTCAATCCAAGCACACTCGCAGCGTCAAACCTGCTACCCACAAAACAAAGACGCAACAGATTTGTTTTTTTCGTTTATGGATGTGCAAACGCAAGCTTGAACAAATTCCCTTTTGCACGTGCCAAAACCCCAATTCAAACACACTTTCATCTTCAGAGCTGCTACCCGCAAACAAAGAAGCAACATTGCAGCATTTGCTCCGCACGTGGGCAAAAATTGGAGATCAGAGCTGTGTGCCTTGCATGGTGCACTAATGTAGAATGTGCCTGCACGCCTCCAGAAGCAGAATTGCAGCGTTCTGCTGATGAAAATATAAAAGGGGGCACAAACATTGTGTTTTGCACAGTGCACGTACAGTGCACGCACAGTGCACGCTACAGTGCACGTCACAGTGCACGGCCACAAAACGCTGTAAATACCACATCTTTTCCCAAAAATAATCAGAAAACACAAAAAAAGAATATATTTCAATAGTTTTTTGTAAATTGTCAGCAAAAACGCCAATCCCATGGTATTTACAGCGTTTTGTGGCCGTGCACTGTGGCATGCACTGTACCGTGCACTGTGCGTGCACTGTACGTGCACTGTGCAAAACACAGTTTGTGCAATTCTGCTTCTGGAGGCGTAGGCACATTCTTTGTTTGTGGATAGCAGCTGTGAAGATGAACGTGTCTTTGGATTGGGGTTGTGGCACGTGCAAAAGGGAATTTGTTCAAGCTTGCGTTTGCACAGCCATAAACAAAAAAATATTGTGCTTCTTTGTTTGCTGGGTAGCAGCTTTGAAGATGAGAGCGTGTTTGGATTGATGTTGTGGCAAGTGCAAAAGGTAGTTTGTTCAAGCTTGTGTTTGCACATCCGTAAACCAAAAAATCTTTCCCGGACTGAGTCCGGGAAGATTTTTTGGCTTATGGATGTGCAAATACAGGCTTGAACCAATTCCCTTTTGCATTTGCCAAAACCTCAATCCAAGCACACTCGCAGCTTCAAACCTGCTACCCACCAAACAAAGACGCAACAGATTTGTTAATTCTTTCCCGGACTGAGTCCGGGGAAGATTTTTTGGCTTATGGATGTGCAAATACAGGCTTGAACCAATTCCCTTTTGCATTTGCCAAAACCTCAATCCAAGCACACTCGCAGCTTCAAACCTGCTACCCACAAAACAAAGACGCAACAGATTTGTTTTTTTCGTTTATGGATGTGCAAACGCAAGCTTGAACAAATTCCCTTTTGCACGTGCCAAAACCCCAATTCAAACACACTTTCATCTTCAGAGCTGCTACCCACAAACAAAGAAGCAACATTGCAGCATTTGCTCCGCACGTGGGCAAAAATTGGAGATCAGAGCTGTGTGCCTTGCATGGTGCACTAATGTAGAATGTGCCTGCACGCCTCCAGAAGCAGAATTGCAGCGTTCTGCTGATGAAAATATAAAAGGGGGCACAAACATTGTGTTTTGCACAGTGCACGTACAGTGCACGCACAGTGCACGCTACAGTGCACGTCACAGTGCACGGCCACAAAACGCTGTAAATACCACGTCTTTTCCCAAAAATAATCAGAAAACACAAAAAAGAAAATATTTCTATAGTTTTTTGTAAATTGTCAACAAAACGCCAATCCCATGGTATTTACAGCGTTTTGTGGCCGTGCACTGTGTGGCATGCACTGTACCGTGCACTGTGCGTGCACTGTACGTGCACTGTGCAAAACACAGTTTGTGCAATTCTGCTTCTGGAGGCGTGGAGGCACATTCTTTGTTTGTGGGTAGCAGCTGTGAAGATGAACGTGTCTTTGGATTGGGGTTGTGGCACGTGCAAAAGGGAATTTGTTCAAGCTTGCGTTTGCACAGCCATAAACAAAAAAATATTGTGCTTCTTTGTTTGCTGGGTAGCAGCTTTGAAGATGAGAGCGTGTTTGGATTGAGGTTGTGGCAAGTGCAAAAGGTAGTTTGTTCAAGCTTGTGTTTGCACATCCGTAAACCAAAAAATCTTTCCCGGACTGAGTCCGGGGAAGATTTTTTGGCTTATGGATGTGCAAATACAGGCTTGAACCAATTCCCTTTTGCATTTGCCAAAACCTCAATCCAAGCACACTCGCAGCTTCAAACCTGCTACCCACCAAACAAAGACGCAACAGATTTGTTTTTTTCGTTTATGGATGTGCAAACGCAAGCTTGAACAAATTCCCTTTTGCACGTGCCAAAACCCCAATTCAAACACACTTTCATCTTCAGAGCTGCTACCCACAAACAAAGAAGCAACATTGCAGCATTTGCTCCGCACGTGGGCAAAAATTGGAGATCAGAGCTGTGTGCCTTGCATGGTGCACTAATGTAGAATGTGCCTGCACGCCTCCAGAAGCAGAATTGCAGCGTTCTGCTGATGAAAATATAAAAGGGGGCACAAACATTGTGTTTTGCACAGTGCACGTACAGTGCACGCACAGTGCACGCTACAGTGCACGTCACAGTGCACGGCCACAAAACGCTGTAAATACCACGTCTTTTCCCAAAAATAATCAGAAAACACAAAAAAAGAAAATATTTCTATAGTTTTTTGTAAATTGTCAACAAAACGCCAATCCCATGGTATTTACAGCGTTTTGTGGCCGTGCACTGTGGCATGCACTGTACCGTGCACTGTGCGTGCACTGTACGTGCACTGTGCAAAACACAGTTTGTGCAATTCTGCTTCTGGAGGCGTGGAGGCACATTCTTTGTTTGTGGGTAGCAGCTGTGAAGATGAACGTGTCTTTGGATTGGGGTTGTGGCACGTGCAAAAGGGAATTTGTTCAAGCTTGCGTTTGCACAGCCATAAACAAAAAAATATTGTGCTTCTTTGTTTGCTGGGTAGCAGCTTTGAAGATGAGAGCGTGTTTGGATTGATGTTGTGGCAAGTGCAAAAGGTAGTTTGTTCAAGCTTGTGTTTGCACATCCGTAAACCAAAAAATCTTTTCCGGACTGAGTCCGGGTTCTTCAAAAAAACAGCCATCCTGTCAAACTCATTGCGAAGAAACTTGCATGCCCCCTTCCCCCAATTCAATGTTGTTACATCGCTTTGCTTCGAAAGGCCTTCAAAAAAAACAGCCATTTCGGTTCGGATGCCGGCATGCATTGGGCAACAACATTGATCAAGGGGGCGCGGGGGGATCAGGTATGATGTGACAACATGTAGGAGGATGGCTGTTTTTTTTGAAGAACCCGGTATCATTATTCCACGCAACAAATATTGAAATATATATATAGATATATTATTGTCTCTTCGGATCAGGTTAGAGGCCAATCTGTTGGGGTTACACTTCTCGATTTGTGCCCTTCTTCAAATCCCGACCTCCTCACCAACACCGCCCGTTGACGCACCTCGTCTTTTTGATACGAAAAACGGCTGCATGCAAGCAGTCAAAGATCACAGCTGAAATTGCACATGGAGTGATGCGTTCCAAAATGATGAACACTCCCCCGAGTTGGCAACGCACGTCACCCAACTCACTTCGTTCATATGTATTGGCTATGGGAATTTCCATCCACAGCTCAAACTTGATCTCGCATTTTGAAAGGGACGTGCAAAAAACCTAAAAACGGTTTCCCTCTCACTTTCTGACTCAAGCCGTTCTTTTCTCTTCGCTCTTCCTTTTCTTTCTGACTCACTCTTGACACCTCTGACACCTTGGATACCTCTTCGAATTTGATGAAAGCAGTGTGCAGTTGGGGTCATAGTGTACTACTCCCCCTGGGCCGACTGAGAGTATTGGCAAGGAGTCTCGGTTGGCCTCTGAACATGATTGGCACCATTGGCTTGGAATGAGACTCCTGGAATTGGCAAGAGTAGGGCAAGTGGTATCTTGATGCCACTTGGTTCCCCATGGTGTGATAAATGCTGGTCTTCTACCAAAACCTCTGCTTGATCTATCGGTTCTGGCTGTCCCTGTGTTGGTCACATTGATCTGAGAAACCACTGGTGTGCTCCCCTTCCTTGGCACACTCTCAGCAGCTGCCGAGCTGCTGTTCCTCGCACTCTGGCTAGATGTTGAAAGAACTGCTGTTGGCACTGATGGTGCTGAACATTTCGGCGGAGAAAAACTCATTGGTGGCGGAGCAGCCTGAGATGCAGGCTTTGGTAAGGGAGCCTGCTGCATCTGAGAAACAGACTTTGGTTGCGGAGCCAGCCTGATCCAGAGGTGGCAATGCCTTTGGACGACTCAGTCCACTTCCACTCGGCTTCTCCTCGTCATTTCTTTCATCTTCAACGTGCTCTCTTTTCTGAACTTCTTCTTCTTTGATCCTTCTCTGCCGTCGTCTCCAAAAATGCTTGACAGCCCTTGTCATAGCTTGGAGAATCTGCACCATTCCTACAAAAGCTAGGACGACCAACATCAGAATTTCCCATCCGCTGTCTCTTTCTTGTTGTTCTTCCTCTTCTTGTGCACGTGCATGATGCACGCATCCCAAGGCCACAATCACCTTGAGGACTTTCTCAACATCTTCTCTTTTTGGTCCTTCTCTGATATCTCCTTCCTGTTCATCTTGGCTGATGTCCTCCTTCTTTTCTTCACTTTCTTCTTTTGTTCTTTCATAGCTTCCCATTTTCATCATCTTTTTCAGCTCCTCCAATCTTGGCGCTGGAAGAGACTTGGTGCCGACATCAGCGATTTGATGTTGACCTGGCACAGCCTCAACCATCCAGTCCATTCTTCCAAATCGCCAACGGACATGCGACGCTTTGAGGCGCAGTTGCCTCGTTCTCCAGCTCCCAGAAGCTTCTGTGAGAAGGTTGATCGCGGCAGTGTTGTCTACCTTGATGATCTTTGGGTAGCCTTCTTCGAAGATCTCTTGGACGAGAACGTCCACGCTATCTCCCATCACCATTCCTTCTACTGCTTCTGACAGTTCGCTCTCCGCCGTAGAGAGAGATGGGATGGACTGTCTTCCAGACTTCCACAGCACTGAGCTTCCATTCCAGAGGACCAGCACTGTGCCCTGAGAGTCTGCTCCCCCAGGGCCATAGGACGAGTCCGTATACCTCCAGAACGTTTCTTTCTCCTCTTCGTATCCACAAACCTTCATCTTGTGTCTTCCTCAGATACTTCCAGACCTGCTTAGAAACTCCAACGACTTCCTTTGGATTTCGCCAGATGGCCTGAGACATCTTGCTGAGGCAAAACATCAAGTCAGGACGCGTTCTGGTGAGGAGCCACATCAATTATCCCACCGCGCGCTGAGCCAATTTGACTTGATCTGCATCTTTCTGTGGATCATCCTCCTCCAAGTGCAAAACTTGATCTCGTGTAATTGGGACTCCAGAGAGAGGTCCATGTTCTTCTCCATTTCTTTTCAGCAGCTCCTTCAAGTAGCTGCCTTGATGCAAGAAAGCTCCTTCTTGTGTGAGCCAAATGTCCATGCCCAAAAACTTGACTCCTCGATCTTTTCCAAGCCACTCCGGCTTGCTTATCTCCCATTCTTCGGAAATCTTCTTGATGCACTGCTGGATCAGAGGCTCTGGCCCCATGATCAGCAGATCATCCACATAGACCAAAATCAGGCCCTTTGTGACTTCTTCCCAGCCTTCCTTCAGCTGGACCATCTTCCAGATGTTTGGATCACCAACCATGGGTTCTAGGGCAATGTTGCCTTCTCGACCTTCCCAACTCATACCGCCCATCTTTGTGTCGCGGTGTGCGCCCCATAGTTTTGGTGATTGACGAAGCCCATAAATGGCTCTCACCGCCACCCAGAACTCATCTGGCTGGACATACTTCAGCTTGACCAGCAGCCTTGGTGGTTGTAAGATCACCACGACCTCGTCATCTGCGCCTTCACCTGGGAGCATAGCATTAAGAAATGCCGTTTTGATGTCCAGCGTGGCGGCAAGCCAGTCAGCTTGCACCGTCTTGCTGAGACATGCCCTGAGTGCTGTGGCGTCTCCGCCTCCTGCATAGAGGCTGTCCTCCTCTTGTCCCTTTTCTATGTAGTTTCCACAGGCAACGAAAGTTGGACATCGCTGCTGCAGCTCTTCTTTCTTTTGGCGACTAATGCTCCTCAAGGCGCCCTTTTCTTCTATGAGTGCGTGCATTTCTGCCTTAATCGCCTTGTCCCAGAGCTCGACATCTCGTTCCAACTCTTGGGGACTGATGATCTTGATCTGAAGGATCTCGCTTCCTTCCTCCTCTGCTTTGCGAAGGGACTTCCTCCAAGGTTCCAGTCTTTGGAACGCCAACATGGCATTCTCGAGGCACTCCTCCTCAACTGCTGTGGCTTCTTCCTTCAGCATAGATCTCAGCCTCAACAGACCTTCACCATCACCTTGATGGAGAGGCCTTTTTCCTCTTACTCTCCTCCTTTCTTGAGCTTCGTCTCTTTCTGCCTCCTCCATCAAAGCCAGCCACATCTCTTCGGTGGGTGGTGGCGGACTTTGAATGTTCTTGATGATGTAGGGGGCAACTCCCCATCTTCCATCTTGACGGAGAATGCAGTGGCCATGTGCCTCGATCATTGGCGTAAGGTATCTGCTGCTCTCATGGGTAGCCTCCAACGCCTCGGTTCTCCATATCCTCTTCTTTACCAGCACTTTCTCACCAAATGATGGAATCTTCATGTCTTCATGCTTTCTCCTCGTTCTGCTAGTCTCCATGAGATACCTGAGAGCCATCGGCCACCATGATTTGTCCATCTCGAAACCATGCAGCAGTCGCTTTGTCATTCTCTTGATCTCCTGAACAGCTCTTTCCACTCTTCCGTTCGCCTGTGGATCTTCTCCTCCATTTGTTGTATGCATGATACACCTGCTTCGAGTCCACTGCTTGAAGCGGGAGTTCATGAACTCTCTTCCACGGTCAGTGTGGATGCCTTGAACAGGAAATCCGTCAGCTTTGAGCTGCAAGTAAAGATCCATGGCTCCGCTGAGTACATCTTCTTTGCCTTTTCCTTTCAAAGGAATGCCTACTCGAAGAACCTCGATCTTCGGAGCAGGTGGAGCCTCTTCTCTAGGCCTGCACCCTTCATCCTCTTCTTGCCTTGGGGCTTGATCTGCTTCTTCATCCTCTCTTCGAGGTTGTTCTTCTTCTCTCTCTTGAATCTCTTCTCGTTCATCTTCCACGTCTTCTATCTCTGGCCACTGTTCTTCTTCTCCTTCAGCAACCTCAATCGGGGGATGCTCCTCCACTTCCTCCTCCGGATTGTCATCAGGCGGTCTCAACCATGTGTATGTTCCAATAAGCATAAACTTGGACTCGCCTTCCACATCGTATCCCTTGATGAAGGGACCACAAGTGTCCAGGTTGAGGATTCCAGCTCGTGGATGGCTGACTTTCGAGTGCAATCTCCCCCTCGCTGAAGCCTCCTGGCAAACCTGGCAGTCTCTTCTGACAGGTGTATGTCCTCTCTGTATGTGCTCCTCCCAGCTCATCTTCGCATAACGCATTTTCTTCGCCATGACTGCCTGTTGAAGGCTCTCTGCAACTTGCCTCATAAGACCTGGGGCCCATCTGGCCAAGTCCTGAGACGAGGCAACAGGCTTCACTTCCTCCTCTTGAATCTCTTCATTTGATGCAGTTGTGGGACACACAGGCGAAGATCTCCTCCAAAAGTGGTCGGTTTGACTTTCCGACCTCCAACACTGGACTGGCGAAAGGTCTGTTCCTGAAGCTGGTACATGTTCTGCAGTTTCCTCCATTCCTTGGTGCCCCAAAAAGACACCACCTCAGGGACATAGTGAGAGGGATCTGCTGGCTGCTCAAGTGCCAACTTCATCTTTGACTCCTCTCCCTTTCCAACTGCCCTTCGGATCTCCTCCTGCACGATGTAGAGCATCAGCCCCCTCCATAGGAGCACATCGTCCTCCACAACTTTCTTCTGCTCTTCTGCCGTGTTGGTTGACTTCCCCCACGGCTCTTCCCAAGACCGAACTGGTCTTGGTCCTCCCCCTGGAACAGGAAGAGGGTAGTGCCGCAACACAGACCGTGTTTGGCAATTCGGGCCCATCACCAAGGCCTTCAGCTCACCATCCAGCGCAGCTCGCAGAAGCGATGGGCATGGACCATCATGATCTCTCAGCATGTCATGTGATCTTCCATGTCGTTCTTCTGATTCTCTCTTGATGTCTATCTCCACAAGAAGGTTTGGATCGCCACCCACTTCTTTGAAGGCCCTGGCCAAGGAGTATCCTTCTGATTCTCCTGCATAGAGGTGAGCCACAAAACCTTCTTCTTTCATCTTTTTCCTTTTTCTTCTGTTGCAGCCCAGGATGGACGACAAATCTTCTGCAGGGCTGACCACCAACTTCTGCTGAATGTGCTGAGGGAGCTCCCTCAGGACTGGATGTGCCTTCACCAACTGTCGAAGCCACCTTTCCTCAGCACTCCTTTCTTCCTCTTGAATCTTCTTCATCCTTTTTCCTTCTTCCAACTCCTGAATCAGCTGAAGTGCCTTCTTCTTTGGGATCTGCGGACACCCGTTCCGCATGACGATCTTCAAAGCACCCTTCTTTGGATGTTCCACTTTCATAGACCCTTCTTTCCACGTGATGACATACCCAAGCTCTCCTGCTAGCATTGACATAGGAACAATGGGTTCCACATGGTTCCACGTTGCCGTCCTTGACGGCCATGATTCCTTTCGGTGTCATCACCATGTCAACTTGGTGACCATCCGCAAGGGTCACACGTACGTTTTCACACATTGACAAATCTTCACCTGGTCGTGCAGCTCGCATTGGATGAGTTGCACCAGTCCAAAAGTCCATAGACAGTTTCTTCTCTTCCCATCTTTGAAATCTTCAAAACCCTGACTTTTCGTAGCTCATCCAGTTGATCTTGCATGGCTGCAAGACGGTCTTGCCTGCCCTTCTGCTCCTTCTCATTCGACTGCATAGTCAAACCTTTCAACATCTTCGTTGCCTCTTCTAAAAGCCCTTTCATCTCAACTGAGGTAGAAGACGGTTCCTCAGATGATGCTTCTGGCTGAGGAAGCTCCTCAGTCCTTGCTGCTCCTTCTTTCTTCTCTTGTCTTTGAGCCATCTTCTGGCTTCCCTTTCCTTCTGCTCCCTTTCCATACTTCTCTCCATTCTCCTTCGAAGCTTCTCGTGGTCTATCGCAAGCTGGCGCTAAGTGCGCGACTGATCCACAAATCCAGCATCGACGCTTCTCGTCGGTGACATGGGACCAGCTGCAACTCTTCCCTTTCTTGCATCCTCCATCTGAAAGAAAAAACTTGCATGGTGGAGTAGACGTCTTCTCGCCCTTTCCTCCTTTGCCTTCTGCACCTTTTCCTCCAGATCCATTCTCCTCAATTCTTTTGGCCTTCGCTTCTTGAGCATTCTTTGCATCTTCTCGCTTCCGTCGATCCTGATGTGCAACCTGGTCAAACTCTGCAAGCAAGTGATGTGCAAACGTCATCACTGAGTCTTCACATGGTGCTGTGTCAATTTGCAGGGACGACTTCGCCAGTTGAATGCGAAATGCAAGATCTGGATTGTCTCTCAGCACCCTTTTTGTCAAGCGGCCAAGACCTTTCACCAAAATTGTGGAGTCAGGTCGAACGACTCCTATTTCGCCAGCTCGTCGATGCCAACGAAGCCACCGACGAAGACCTGTGACTGCCTGGGAAAGTCCGGCAGCTTCCTCTGGAGAGTCCAGAGCCGACAAAATGGCTCCTTTTTCGCTGAGGCCTCCCGGCTGATAGCACGTCATCAACCGAGCCAACACGTTGATGGCAGTCACCTCCTTCGAAGCAACCACTTCTTCCTGCTGAGACTGCGGTATGGCAGCCATGAGAAGAGCAGTGACTCACTTCTCAAGTCTTTGGTACCTGGGATGTTGCAGGTCTTCTGGAACCTGCGGCTTGTGCTTCACCTTCTCCAAGGGGGACTTCTCTTGGTGCTGAATGTACCAACTTCGGGCGGATTGCAGCATCTGTTCCCACCATTGTTGAGAGGTGTCAGAAAGATCTCCCATAGCTGGCTCGATTGTCAGAAGCCAGTCAGTGAGATCCAAAGGTGCCGTCTCAGCCTTCCACTCTGGAAGACGGGGCAAATCTGGAATTGCACCCTTGACGATCTCCATGTCTTTTGCTTTCTTTGCATCCACAATCTGAGATTGCAGCACCTGCATGCCCTCCATGAGCTTCATCATCCCTTTCATCATCATTCTCATCTCTGGCTCTCCTGCGTCCTCCGCAGTCTTTGAACTTCCACATTGCCTTTGGGGGTCTTCAGCCTCCTTTGAATCTGGCGGCCTTTCGGCTTCATGAAAACTTTGGGGGTCTACAGCCTCCTTTGCTTCAAACTTTCGGGGGTCTACAGCCTCCTTTGATGCTTCAAACCTTCGGGGGTCTACAGCCTCCTTTGATGCTTGCGGCGTTCGGGGGTCTACAGCCTCCTTTGATGCTTCGGATTTTCGGGGGTCTACAGCCTCCTTTGATGCTTCGGGCTTTCGGGGGTCTGCAGCCTCCTTTCGATCTTTCCTTGAATCTTCAGGAGTGCCATAGATGGAAAACCTGTCGTTCCCAGACCTCAGAAAACGATTCTCCTCCTCCAAAACTTTGAGCCTTAGCAAAAGGTTCTGTCGCTCCTCTTCTTGGCGAAACCTGATTGCCTCAGACTCCAAACGCAAACGATCTCGCTCTTCCTGAAGAGCGAGCAGCCTTCTGTCTTCCATCTCCAACCAATTAGGTCTAGAGTCTAGATGTTCCTAAATCTGTTCCATAAATCCATGGTGCCCTATTGTGAAGCTCCTCAAACTGTCTCAATTGCTGCTCACTGAAAAGTGGTGTGAACATGGGCTGTGACCTGGGCTGGGACCTAGTCAGTGCAGGTCCTAGATCCGCCCTGCCAGACCTGTCGGCCTGAGCGTCACCTTCGTTCCCAGCTCCTCCATTTGGAACAGCTTGAGGCGTTTGCAGAACTTCTTGGCTTTCACTTCCCTTTCCTTTCCCACTGGCTCCACTTCGGACAGCTGGAGTGGTCGGAGCAACAGCAGGATTGTGGGATTTCTGAACTGAACCCTGTGGAGATTCTTCTACAACTTCTTTGGAAACTTCTACAACTTCTTTGGAAACATCCTCAACGGCGGGGATTTTCTGATCCTCTATCGCAGTCCCTTCTACTCTAGGGGACTCATTTTTTGGGCTCTGTGGTTCTTCAAAAATCTCCTGACCTTGATTGGCTGGATTCTGTTGATCTTCTAAGGCTTCCTCAGTTCTTTCCCTAGAAAACCGATCTTGCGCTTCTCTCATTTGTCTCATCCCTTCATTCAACTCCTCTTGGGTTGCTCTTCTATGTCTAAGAAGATCCATTAGCGCCACTTTGGGCTCATAACCTGTCTCTTCGGATCAGGTTAGAGGCCAATCTTTTTGGGGTTACACTTCTCGATTTGTGCCCTTCTTCAAATTCTGATCTCCTCACCAACACCGCCCGTTGACGCACCTCGTCTTTTTGATACGAAAAACGGCTGCATGCAAGCAGTCAAAGATCACAGCTGAAATTGCACATGGAGTGATGCGTTCCAAAATGATGAACAATTATATATATTGAATACATAATCTATCTAAACATGGAAACAGCCATCAAGGCTTGCTGAAAACACAGCCATGAATGGCTTCAAATCAAAAGCCATCCTTAGGCTTGCAAACAACATCTACACCTGTTAGCTCAAAACATCAACCAGCCACTCTGGCTTGCATAACCAATGTGTTGAACGTCTCTTTTTTTGAGAGCTATTGCAAAACAAATTTATTCCTTTATTTGTTTGCCCAGTGAAACTTGCTTGAAATTCAAACAGCTTGGACAATCAAAAATTGGTACGAAATGAATTGGCTAGTTCAACGGCTCTTTGAGTGAAATATTCTACACACTCATGGCACTCACATTGAATTTCATGCTGTGCATCACTTGTCCAATTTGGCACTCCAACCAAAGGGTGTTGCCTAATCGACCAATGGTCTAATGGTGCAGCCAAATGAGGTGTAGGCTCAATAATCACCACCTCTTCCAACTTCATGTTTGTATCAATGTCCTTCTTCTCCTCCACTGGCTCTTCATGTACAGGTAGTATGGGGCTGGCATTGCTCCCAAATGAATGTTTCCTGAACCACTGCTATGAAGCTGTTGGCCAAACACTGCAAAGCAATGATTATACCAGCTGTCCAGCCCTCAGGTCATGGAAATGTACCCTGAAAGGGTTCAAGTGGGAGCCCATTGGATTGACATAGCAAAAGACATTCAGGCTGCCTTGTAATTATAGCCATAAAACTTGTGTAGCCACTGAGGGCTTGAAAAACAATAGCCACTGAGAGCTTGTAAAACAATAGCCACTGAGGGATTTTAGAGCAATAGCCACTAAGGGCTTGAAAAGCAATAGCCACTAAGGGCTTGAAAAGCAATAGCCACTAAGGGCTTGAACAGCAAGAGCCACTAAGGGCTTGAAAAGCAATAGCCACTAAGGGCTTGAAAAACATGAGCCAATGAGAGCTTGAAGAACAACAGCCACTAAGGGCTTCAAAAACCATATACCCATCCAAGCTGCCATTCAAAGCATTTTCTCAATTCCATCAGCTTGTCAGCTTGTCACTCACTCATAGTAGGGTTTCTGCTTTCCCTTCATTGGAGTAAAGTGCATTCGGCTGATGGGGCCAATCCAGGCATAGGCGAGGTCACAAATTTCTGCCTCTTTGACCCAGCACTGCCAGCCATTGGTGAATTGGGCCACTCTGTACCTTTCATTGCCCCATCCCATCCATCCAGTGAACTCCATATTGGTATAGAACTCATTTGGGTAAATCCTGGGTTGCTAAAAAATAACATTATCACCAGCAGCAGACAAAACAAACAAAATTAGAAAACAAAAAATGGATGAACAAATTAGCCAAGTTACGTGGAATGCTCGCCAGAAGCAAAAAGGATCCTTGTGCCCCAGTCCAAATGCTGCACATCCAAGATCTTCTGTGGAAGATCCACTGGGCCATTGCTGAGAGCCATTGGTCAGTTGTCCACTTACTTCACTGCAGCAGTCGTCAATTTCCATTCATTGCTTGAGCCCAAGAGATGCAGTGAGTGTGCTGCATTCAGTACACCTTTCTGTAGGGATACTGAAAACAAAACCCATTTAAAATTAACACATTCCTTCATACTGTAAAGCATTACCTTTTGTATTCAAAACCCATTATGTGGGTATATTTATAGTCAACATTGAAATACACATTTCTCAAAATGGTAAGCCACAAGAAGCCATTCAGGCTTGAAAGCCCACAGGGCTTGTAATGCAAACAGCTCTGAGCCATTGGGGCTTCAAAGCCCCAAAGCTTGCTAAACCATAGCCACAAGGGCTTGCAATACAATAGCCACAAGGGCTTGCAATACAATAGCCGCAAGAGATAAAAGTATTAACATACCTATAGAAGCCACACAGGGCTTGCAACAGCTAGCCAAAGAAGGCTTTGAAAAAGGTATGGCCAAACAAGGCTTGCAACAGCTTTAGCCAAAGCAGGCTTGGAACACTTATAGCCAAAGAAGGCTTGCAACAGCTATAGCCACAGAAGCTTCAGCAAAGATAAAAACAGCCATGAAGGCTTTCAATACACTTGCGCAATCTGCATTTTTTGCCTGGGTGCACATGCCATAAAACCTTGTCAGAGGCAACCTTCTTGGTGTACTGTCTTTTGGTGCCACTCAAGCATTCCTCAGCATCCCTGGCCAAAGCTTGGAAAACACGTTCAAGCATTGCAGGCTCCATGAGGACCAAAAGATCACTTCTGCCAGGCCTGTTGCCTTTCATCAACACATTGACCTCTTTGCCCAACACTTGAATGGACACCACATACTCACCATTGTTCAGCTTCCTTTTCTTGACTGCTTGCTGGTCAGCATCATTGTCCTCTTGATTGAACAAATCTGCATCACTTTCTTTGCCAGCTTCCTGTTTCAGTTCTTTCTCAGCCAATTCCAAATTCTTTTCAGCAGCTTCATTCCTGTCTGAAATCATTTTCAGGAGTTGGGTACTGCTGCTCAAGAACTGATTCTTCTGATTGTTTTTGGAAATCAATTTGCAAAGGCTTTGGCAAGTAGGTCGAATCCTCAAGTATTGCTGGTGTTCAAAAGATTCAATCAATGAATCTGGGATTGCTGACCATTTTTCATCTTGGAACTTGATTTCCCAAGTGTGCCTCAGTTCCACCATGGCTGAGCAACCACACAGGCTGTGCCCCACTGCCTTGAACCCAAAACCACAGAAGCAACTCTATGGAAGCCAAAGCTGAATTCCAAACAGGTATGTCACAAGAGGCAACCCATGCAGCGAAAAAGGCTTGCAACACGCAAAAAGCCTTTAAATAGCTTGCATGCATTGAAGCCAGAAAAAGGCTTGAAAGCCAAGCAGCCTATGCAGGCTTGCAGTATACCAATTATAGCTACCTGAGCTTGCCCTGCAAAGTAGCCACCCCAAGGCTTGCAACAAAAACACATGCCTTCATGCTTTCCCATTTTTCACAGATGTTACAGTCACCATTGACAAGAAGAAAGCTGCAGAGCAGAAACCGAGGCCAGTCTACTTTTTGGCTTTTTTTTGGTGCTCCTTCTGCATTGCCTTGGTCTTCAGTTGGCTTCAAAACCACCAATTGCTCACCAGCCTTCAATGCCTTGGGGTTGGTGAGGAAAGGCAATTGGACATGGTCAAACACTTGGGTCTTTTCTTCCACGTTTGCTTCATCAGCTTCTGCTCTGCAGTTTGCTTGACCCAATGGAAAGCATCTAGCACTCCTTTTTCGACAGAGAAATCTTGGGCTGCTTTGAAACTTGAAATTGCAAAGTGCGTGCCTGCAAAAACTGCAATCAACTTGCCTTTTGTTTTCAATCTTTGATTCTGCTGACAGCACCTGCTGGGAACAATTTCAAATCTCCTTTCTTCAAAGCCTTGGCAGCCCGAACAGCAGTGGGGCCAAATGTGAATGCCAAAGAATTGTTTCCAAAAGCACTTGCTGGACTGTGGCCTTTGCCAGTTCATCATCCACAACTGCACTGTCATGCAAAAAAAGCTTTGCCACCACTGCTGCACTGCACATGCTTGGTGTTGCACCTTTGCGCTTCTTCCATTTTGTCAAATCTGTGAAATTGACCTTCAATTCTTCCTTCTGGCCAAAGAAAGGGCTGTGCCCAAAAGCGAAACCGTCATCTTCACATTTCTCCAGCTTATACACTTTGGAACTTCCCAGCTTCAAGTTGTAATACCTATTGTTGAAAATGGCTTTAGTTTTGGTTCTTGTGTTTTTGAAGGCACCCCAAGATAAATGGTTTGACATTGTTTGTTCAAATTAAAATATTGTTAATTGTCCAAGGTGCAGATGGCCCAGCTCCATGTGGTCATTCTGGAGGAGTGCAACTTTTGCAGGGGTGGCTTCCAACAAGTTCTCCACTTTCAATCCCTCTTGCTGGCTTGCTTTGGAGCTTGAAGCTCTTGCACCTGTAGCTGCCAAGTCAATGGCAAACAGTTTGGCAATTTCTTCCAAGTCTGGGAAGCCTTTGGGTTCTCTTCCCAATTTCTCCTTCTGGAGTATGTGCAAAATGCACCTAACACAAAGCCTGCCAAAGCTTGCTACTTGCAGGTTTTCAGCTACTGGTGAATTTGCTTTCAATGCCCAAGCATCCTTCAGCACTTGCCTGGGATTTTGCATTGGGTGCCAAAACAAAATTGGCTACATGATGTGTGTTAAAAGAAAAACATCAAGCCAACCAAGGTGCTCACATTTGTCCACTTCAGGCCTTTTGGCCACATTCTTCAGCTTGTCACAATCTGACTTGTTGAGCAATTTGGCATACCCATCTGCACTCTTTGTAGAGCTCATCATTGTGGCCCACCCCAATAAGCAACACATGTGCTACATATGTGTTTTGTTGCACAAAGACGCAAGTTAGTTGCAAACAAAGCACACAGCAGTTCTCAAGAAAGGGTACAGGCAGGTAGAGCCTCCCATATCCATGTAAGCGATGGCAACCATCATTTCCTGGCCCAATTGCAGGCTACCAAAGCTTTTGCCTCAGCATGCTGAAGCAAGAATGCATGTGTGTAGCCACCATGGCTTTCACAAAGAAGCCATGAAGGCTCGCAAAGAAAGCAGTGGATCAGAGCCAAAGAGGCTTCAAATCTGAAAGCTGTGGAAGCTTCAGAAAAGAAGCCATTTAGGCTTGCTGGCTATGCAGTTTAAAAACAATCACAAAGCCTAGGCACTGAAGCGGCTCAGGAATTTCAATAGGCCTTGTGAATCGCCACCACCATACCTGCTCACATAGTAGGCAATGGCTGGAAGCTGAGGCTTGCAAAGAGGGTCGCTTTGCTCCACCAAAAGCTGGGCCTCCTGCAATGTCTTGCCATGCTGCAAGAATTCAGACATCAAAGCAGCAGCCTCAATTTCATTGACTTGCTTGAAGCCCATGTTGACTGAATTCATTGCCATCTGCAGCCAAGGAGGCAAAGAAGGCAACTGGTTTTCCACATGCTCAGAAATGACATTCATAGGCCAGCCTGCAGTTATCAGCTTGAAGAGGCCTTCATCAGCCTTCATTTCCAAAGGTTGTCCACTTGCAGGTGACTTGCAGCAAGCTTCCACTGCCTTGCAGAAGGCTGCTGTGTGGGAGGTGGCCACTGTCAAGTACCTCTCAGTCTTAGTCACTGGAGCAAGTGCACCATCTGCAGATTCTACCAAAGTGACATTGGCAGCCACTTGCTGGTCTCTTTTGCCAGCTTCAGTGGAAAGCTCAAAAGCCACTCCTCCTTCTTGCAGTAAGGCTGGCTGAATGCCAATGCTCACCATGCGAAGCCCCTTGCTCCATACATCTTGTGGGTTAAGCAAACTGCCACCCCTGTTGGCTGGGTGTGTCAGTGTCTCTCTGGGGAGCACTGTTGTTTTGTAGCAAAGACATTTCTGCTGCAAGAGCTGCAATTTTTTCAACTTTCTTCAAAGCTGGCATATCTTCATTTTGCACAAGGTCATTCACCTGCTTCACCACGTCTGGGGGCACAGAAGCCATTGCTGCTTGCAAGGTGGTGTGTATATGAACATGATTTCATTGACACATGGAATGGGCATGTGTGTCATGCTTGTGGCCGCTGGGCATGTCTGTCATATATGCTTGCACATTTGCCAAATCAAATAGCCTACAAAGGCTTGCACCACAAAGCCCGCATGGCTTTTTGCCACACAGCCCAAAAAAAGGCTTGCACCATTCAGCCAACACAAGCTTGCAACACAAAGCCAAAAACAGGCTTGCAACACAAAGCCAGAAGCTTTCACAATGAAACAGCCATGGTGGCTTTATTGAAGCCTTTCAACAACAAGACCTTGTCTTGGCTTCCAAAAAACAAAACAACATTTCCCAGCAGCCAAAAAGCTTTTGGCACAGCAAGATACCAAACATTGCGCACTGCAGGGTGGCAATACAACAAACAATGCCAAACAACCCTTTCAGGCATCCCAACTGGTGTGATATGTAAAAATTATATTGCTTCAAGCCTGCACCCAAAGGGTCGTGCTTTTGTTCTTCAAATAACATTATACCCAGAAGAAAAGCAAAACATGTCAAGATTGTTTGCAGAATTTTAAGTTTTCAAAATCAAATTTCCAGAGGCTAAACATTTATGTTTGCAAAGCTAACTATTTAGGTTTGACAGCTAACTACTTAGCTAAAATTAGAAAAGTTAACATAAGTTAGCTAAAGCTTAGCAGATGTTAGTAACTTTGCTAAACTTGCTAAACACTTAAGATATACTTAGGAAGTGCTTAGCATATGTTTAGCATAAGGATTTAATAATGTTGATAAGCCTGATAAATACTTAGCAAGCCCAGGGTTCATCTAAGCAGACGCTCACATGGGGGGACTGTCCGCAGACAATCAGGGTGAGTGTCCGCAGACACGCAAAGGGGGGAGTCCGCAGACAATCGGGGAAAGTGTCCGCAGACACTCACAGGGGATACCGTCCGCAGACAATCGGGGTGAGTGTCGGCAGACGCTCACGCAGACAATCGGGGTGAGTCTCCGCAGACACTCAAAGAGGGGACTGTCCGCAGACAATCCGGAAAAAGTGTCCGCAGACACTCAAAGAGGGGACTGTCCGCAGACAATCGGGGTGAGACTCCGCAGACGCTCACAAGGGGGACTGTCCGCAGACAATCGGGGTGAGTGTCCACAGACACTCAAAGAGGGGACTGTCCGCAGACAATCGACTGGGCCGCGCGTCCGCAGACACTCGAAGGATTTCTATATATTTATATCCTGTGCATGTGCATGTGATAAAAGACAACGCTATGAATATATATATATATATCCCGGCCTTGTCAGCCCCCATGGTGCTCTAAGTTGGTGTGCGGCCGAGCAACACGAGGGAAAAACGGCTGCGGACAAAAAGTTGAGTCATGAAGCAAGACCGGAACGGCTGTAAGGGCAACAGAAAATGACGCTCCTAACAGAAGCAGCCGAGTGACAGAACGATTTTTTTCTCCCATCTCATTTCAATGCTTGCAATCTGCAAGAAAGGCTTGTGCTTTCTGCACTACGCCACTGATAGCTTCTAAATCTGCACGTGCTAGACTTTCATCAAGCACATCCAGAATCGCAGCCTCCAAAAGTTGGATGAAGAGCGTGCAACGATCTACCTCCACGGCCGCAGCCGTGCAGGCATGCAACCTCTCGAGAGTTGCAGATGTCAAGTGAGCCAAAACTTGATGCTCTTTATGCATAGCGCTATGCTCCGCAGAACATGTGTCTTTATCACGAGGTGTCATAGGCGCTACAGACTCAGAGCTTACAGAGATGGCATCTGCAGCATCCAATGCCTGCTGCGATCGTTGCCACAAAGCAGGCAAAGTTTCCATTGTCATCTTCTCATGGCCTGCAAACCCAAGGCGAATCTCCACTTTGCTTCCCTCCGGATTAGTGCGCCAGGCAAACAAGTTTCTCATCCCTTGAACCAGAAAAAGCGATATTTTTATAACGCGTGAATCATCGATATTATATTCTCTTTAAACCGTGTGCAAACAGACATGATGGACATCTCCGTTCCTATAACTTGGCTCCCATTTTGCAAGCCTGCACAAAATCAATTAAAGGACCGGATAACCCCACATGTCAACTTCTTCCAACAAGCAGCAAAAGAAAGGTAAAGATGGCATGCGGAAAGCAGGAAAGAGAAAAGAGATGGTGAAGGATTGGCGTATGCAACCAGGTGAATGATTTGCATCCAAATAGAAGGCCAGCTAGACAAACAATACTGAACACACTAATCCAATAACATCAAGTCGCCTCAGACAGCGCCAGCTCTTTCGCAATAACATCCACGTATAGACCGGTATGAGTAAGTTGTGTATGCATGTATGTATGTATGTATGTATGCATGTATTGAACAGCAGCATCTGCGCGACGAAGTCGGTGCCTGGCAGAACAACAGAAAACACCGGCTGTCACGAAGACTGTTAGTTTCAGAAGCACAGATTGATAACAGACATATGAGCACCGTCAAATGCAACAGCACTAGCAAGGATCACGACATCCCCGGCGCCACGCCTAAAACCAAGCGCGCCACCAGAGCCAGCCCAGTGCCATAAGTGCCACGCCTGCCACGGCAGAGTAGAAGTCGATGTCACCAAGTACCACGCCTGCCACGTGAAACGAAGGTGGATGTCTCCAAGTGCCACGGCTGCCACGCCAACAGCCGCGGCGTCCCCGGCGCCACGCCTAAAACCAAGCGCGCCACCAGAGCCAGCCCAGTGCCATAAGTGCGACGCCTGCCACGGCAGAGTAGAAGTCGATGTCACCAAGTACCACGCCTGCCACGTGAAACGAAGGTGGATGTCTCCAAGTGCCACGGCTGCCACGCCAACAGCCGCGGCGTCCCCGGCGCCACGCCTAAAACCAAGCGCGCCACCAGAGCCAGCCCAGTGCCATAAGTGCCACGCCTGCCACGAGAGAGTAGAAGTCGATGTCACCAAGTACCACGCCTGCCACGTGAAACGAAGGTGGATGTCTCCAAGTGCCACGGCTGCCACGCCAACAGCCGCGGCGTCCCCGGCGCCACGCCTAAAACCAAGCGCCAGAGCCAGCCCAGTGCCATAAGTGCCACGCCTGTCACGCAAAGTAACAATCCATGTCACGAAGTGCCACGTCTCCCACACAAAGTGAAGGTAGATGTCACGAAGTATCACGCCTGCCACGCAAAACCCCGCGGCGTCAGAGCACCGCCTGGGAACCAAGCGCGCCACCAGAGCCAGCCCAGTGCCATACGTGCCACGCTTGCCACGCAAAGTGACGATCCATGTCGCCAAGTGCCACGCCTGCAAAACCTGACATGTCACGACGGCAACACTCGATGCAGCTGCGCACACAGCACTAACCGATGCAGCTTGACTCTGCCTGTGTGCTGGTGCCCGGTGGACAAGTAGTGTGAAGACAAGTGGTGTGATGACAAGTGGTGTGATGAGAAGTGGTCTGATGACAAGTTGCGTGTGAGTAAGTTGTGTCTGTACAAGTAGTGTGAAGACAAGTGGTGTGATGACAAGTGGACAAGTTGTGTGTGGACAAGTAGTGTGAAGACAAGTTGTGTGTGGACAAGTAGTGTGAAGACAAGTGGTGTGATGACAAGTTGTGTGATGACAAGTTATGTCACCAAGTACCACGCCTGCCACGTGAAACGAAGGTGGATGTCTCCAAGTGCCACGGCTGCCATGAGTTCGTGACATGTGAGTGCATGACATGTGACTGCAACCCAGTGCCACGCCTGCCACGCAAAGTGGAAGTCGATGTGTCCAAGTACCACGCCTGCCACGTGAAACCAAGGTGGATGTCTCCAAGTGCCACGCCTGCCACGCCAACAGCCGCGGCGTCCCCTGCGCCACGTCTAAAACCAAGCGCGCCACCAGAGCCAGCCCAGTGCCATAAGTGCCACGCCTGCCACGGCAGAGTAGAAGTCGATGTCACCAAGTACCACGCCTGCCACGTGAAACGAAGGTGGATGTCTCCAAGTGCCACGGCTGCCACGCCAACAGCCGCGGCGTCCCCGGCGCCACGCCTAAAACCAAGCGCGCCACCAGAGCCAGCCCAGTGCCATAAGTGCGACGCCTGCCACGGCAGAGTAGAAGTCGATGTCACCAAGTACCACGCCTGCCACGTGAAACGAAGGTGGATGTCTCGTGGTGGCGATTGCTTCTTTCTATCTGTTGCTGCCATTTTGATTTTGGCGCGTGACTTGATGCCTGCTGTGGTAGATTTTCTTGTGCTTCCTCCTACTCTTGCTGGCAGGGTTCGGAAAGCGGTTGCAAAAGCTCTGCGCGGACTTGTCGGTCAACATTTCGTGGATTGTGTGGGAAAGCTTTCGTTGATTTTGTTACTGGCTATGTAGTTCGTGAAAAGGCTGGAGCATGGATGGACCAACTAAGGTGCTCAAAAAAGTTAGTAACTGGGTTATAACCTAGGGTTATATCCCAGTTACTAAGTCAGAACTTCTTAGCTAACTTTTTGTATTTTTTTTTGCTATAAAAAAGTGTCTTTAAATAAAAGTGATCAAATTTTGATCTTTTTGATGATTTTGAGTGTTTGCTGTTTGAAGCGTTTTCAACTGCTCAAAAAAATGCCAAATGGAGCGGTTTTCAAACAGCTAAAAGCTATTTTTGTTGGAACAGCCGTTTTCAGCACGTCAAACACTATAATTAATCACGTGTTAAAACCCAAACTGTGAATGAAGATGTGTTCATGTCTACTAGAGAGGATGCATTGCTTGAAGAAGTGTCCAGGTGTTCACTTTACCTTGGCTAAATGCTGCAGA